GCTGGGAAACCCCTTCTTTGCCATGGGGGTCTGGTGACACAAGGCCAATTACTGGCCAAGGACAAAGGACAGGGATAAGGGAGGCCACCAATTCCAAGTTTAATGCCGCCGCAGACCGCAGATGCAGCACGACGTTGGGAGGCCAGCCGCACACGCCTGCCTTTGTCAATCAGTGTGAAATGGCCTTTGTTAGGGGATAGGGGACACTTATTTCAGGGGTTTCCCTGGCAGGAGGCAGGGGGGGAGGGGGTGTTCCCAGCCGCTTTCTTTCTCCTTGAAATAGGGGATTGAGTTTGACGAATCTATCAGACTAAAATGCAGCACAATACAAATACATTTCTCATCTCATACGAGAAGCGTCAGTCTACGCTGAGAACCGGAATTATCTTTATGGTTACCGCGCGTTCGTGCACATGTACGGGCCCATGCACACCAACTTGGTCGGCTGATGTGCATTAAACAGAAATGTTACGTCACATGTTAACATGCGTTGTGCTAAGGCTGCCCATTCATTTGACCGTAATTGGACCAAATATCATACACACAGCATTTTTGGTAGCACAAAGCAATGCATGTGTTAAGCTGCAATGCACATCCGTCAGCACGGTGCACACCAATGCATGTAACGTGCATTCCTGCCATGTGACTGTGTGAACAGGCCCTTAACACACGCGCACCATAACACTCACTATGAATAGCGCCTCTAATGCACATTTGTAAACAAATGCACCTGCACTACAGCACATCACATATGTGAGTGCACGGTGCATTGTGAATGGCCGAAGGATAGGTATGAGTTGAGGCTTGTTAAGGGTACATTGACGGTGAATAGGCTACTTTAACACCGAAAGAAAAAAGCACATACGTGTGAATGGGCCCTTTAGAGGAAAGAGTCTTGATGAACCCGTTAAGAGTCCACTAACCACTTTTTTTGGGAAAGGTCAATGAAGGCTTAATGGAGAACTATGGGGTTAGGGCCTCTCCCCATAGTTCTCCTAAGGGTAACGGGAGGACACAAACTAGCGTCCTCCCGTGACCCAAAGCTCAGTATACCGAGAGCCACAGCTCGCGGTATACTGAGACGCCGCAGCCGGGATGGATCCCGACATTACTGTCTGGATCCACCCACCTGCGTGACAGCTGGCTCTGCATATCTAGAGGCAGAGCCAGCTGTACCCGCCCCCTCCCCCGTCCGTTCCGCCAGTCAGCGCTGGATGATCGGAGCGGGGAGAATCCCTGCAGGGAGCTGTGAGTGACAGTCATCAAGAGGATCGAGAAGTGAGCGAGCGATGGTATGTGTTCCCTCACTTCCCGATCTATTGAGCCAATGTGTGACAGTTTCATTGTCGCAGGTCGGCTAGAACAATGAGGCTGAGTGATTTTCCCTCTCCTCATAGTTCTCCTTTAAGGCCCATGGGGTGACTATGGGTGCTACAGCCGATTTGCTGGTTTTTGTAAATGTGTCGCAGTTTATAAAGACATGAAGGTCTTGGTTTACCTCGCCTTGGCTATGAGGGTTTCACAATGTCTGACGTATCATAATATGAGTATTCTGCAAGAGTGCGCACATCTGCGTGGTAATCGCTCTTCTCATTTTGGTGATTGAGCATGTCTGAAAAACACAAAAAAGGATCTGAGAACACAAATACACTGGTGACTTTACAGACACAATTGTTACAGAGCTGGCACAGAGGGTGACCAGAGGTGGGCCATGTAAATTGGGCACTATGGTAGAAAAAAATGGGCACATAATTCAATTTGGGGAGAGGTTGCCTTTTTATGCCTCCCCATGATGCTCCCTCTACTATGATGCCCACCACTCTATTGTATCAATGATGGTACAGCTGTTGCAAAATAAAGCCATACATGAAATTGGGGGGTGCCATTCCTACTTCCTGAAGATAGCTTTGACATCTGCCCAGTGATATCTGGGTGCTCAATAACGCTCAGTTCTTTACTTCTAACCTTTCCAGTAGCTCAATTGCACTTCCAAAATTACTGGCAATCAATGGCTGAGAGTATCGAACAATCACTGAATAAAAGTAACGCTGTAATCAGTGGCGTAACAATCACCATAGCGACCCAGGCGGCCACTATGTGGCCCGGGGCACAGTGGGGCCCGGCCAGATGCTGTGCGGGCCGCCTGGGATCCTCTGCTGGTGGCTTTTACTGGCGGCTGAAGACGAACACACCGCTGTTCAGATCACTGACAGTAATCTGTGCAGCAGCACGTTCCTCTCCAGAGTCAATGAGAGCCAGCAGCGGCGATGGAGCAGGCTGGACCCGGCAGTGGAGGAGGAGGCGGGGCGCGTGGTCAGCAACAGGGGAGGAGGCGGGGCCCATCAGCGTCGGTGGAGGAAAAGGAGGCGGACAGGTAAGTAGTGCGACCCTGCACAGCCCACCATAGAGAGTCTATGGCGGGCTGTGCAGGGTCACCTCTGCAAGGGGGGGAACTAGAAATCACGGGGGCCCCATACCACGTTTTGCTATGGGGCCCTGTGATTTCTAGTTACGCCCCTGCCTGTAATAGTAGTTAATCTTGCATGATTGGGCAATGTGCCAGTTATTGGTGACTTATGGTCATAGTCATAGACTGAGATATTGAAAATCTGTGTTGTAGCTCTTGTCATTGGCCTTGTTCACACAGCGCTGAATATAGAAGAGAAATCACATATGGAATAGCCCATGCTGGACACAGCAATCAATGTTTCATGCAATGCAGAGTAAAGCAAAGCAAACAGTTCAATAAGCACTTGTCTGTAGTGCGCCATTCATCTTAATTCAATGCGTAAGCCGGGTATTTGAGGGCACTTGGTGGGCATAGGGAACATATATACATTGTAACACCTGTATTATTTCTTCCCTCCGTGCACAGGTGATACCTGGCCGTTCATCTAACACTCACTGCTTCTCAGGAGAGGCAAGAACATAAGAAATAATAAATATTATTATAAGGTCTAATATGTCTAGATTCTTGCTAAAGCCAAATTGTGCAAATAAAAATAATATGAGTTAAAGAGCTCCCCCTAGAGGATTATCTGGTGCACACACAAGAGGAGGAATGGGGAGCTGTCACTTTGTCATTCTTACTTCTTTTTCTCTCTTCCAAGAAGGAAACAACAACCAGGTGGCTGCTGACACAGTACATTCATTTCACTGTGAAATGTCATGTTTCCTGCCTTATATATCCTCCGTGTAAATATTATTCCATCCCCAAATCACCATGTGTCCAGCTAGTACCCACTAATTTCCCTCCTGCCCTCCTACTTATACATACACCCACCTACCTATCTGTACACCCCCAGATTGTCCTACCTGTACTATCACCTATTTATACACCCCCAGATTGTCCTACCTGTACTCCCACCTATTTATACACCCCCAGATTGTCCTACCTGTCCCCCCACCTATCCATACACCCCCAGATTGTTCTACCTGTACTCCCACCTATCCATACACCCCCAGATTGTCCTACCTGTACCCCCACCTATCCTTACACCCCCAGATTGTTCTACCTATACTCTCACCTATCCATACACCCCCAGATTGTCCTACCTGTACTCTCACCTATTCATATACCCCCACATTGCTCT